TGCATTGTAAAAACATAACTCGTGGTTCAGAGAATGGATTTCCTGTGGGAGCTCTGATCCCAGCGCTGTAAGACTTAACCTGTAATCAGACTTCCAGTAAACTTTGTTGATTTTAAACAGTCTTCTCCTGTCTTCACTTCTCGTGCTTCCAACAAAATAACTGGGTTAATTTCTAACAGTAGAACCATAGTTCTTGTAGCCTGCCTCTGTAAGCATGGCACGGAGAGATGCCACAAAGCCGGTGAAATTGGGCACAGAATTCTTGCTGTAATTATTAAGTCCTAAGAAAAGCATCATGGTCTTAACGGTGGTGGGCTTAGAATGTGAGAGAATATCAGTTTTGTGTGACTCAGTCATATGCCTCTGGAAGTGGGTAGACTTGATACTGATATCACGGTGCACCCTGCGACTCCTGATATGAAAAGGGACATTTACGCGACCAGTGTCCTCTTTCATTATAAATCCAGCACCTGTCATCTCTTGGCGGTCCTCTTCCTCATGGCCTGGCACGGTACTGAGGTCCACAGTACATGGGAACAGAATCCCACTGATAAGGTGGTGCGGTCAGCTGTTGAGCAAAGGATTGCTGCTGTGCATATGGCTGTACAGCATTCTGCACAGGCATTTGGTTAGCTGTAGCTTTAATTTGACTGTGTCTTGCATTTCCTTCAACTGCGCTTTAGCTAACTGTGCCTGCAAAGAAGAAAGCTCCTTTGCATTTATTTTTTTTAATTCTTTCCTCTGCGGACGCTTCGTGCTATTGGAAGGACACTGGGAGGGTTAAGGTAATTTTTAGTACCCAATTTATGGCTTCTAAGGGTCCATACAGCTATTGAACCTTTATGTACACTGAACCTGTGGACATGCCATGTTGTGTCTATGTTCGTGGTTATGGTTCATGTACTTTTGTCATACACAACGCTTTATCTTCTCTCACCATTCCTCAATAACAAAACAGAACATTATTTCTACATCTTTTACACTGCATAAAAGAAATGTATGTCAGGTACGAGTGTCATTTTCAGCAAGTTTATTTCAGTGTAAGTGGTTCTCAAAACACCTCACACTGCTTCTCCAAACATTTAATTTTCCTGCCACCTCCAAGATAAGCAAGCAAGACAATATCTTAAAACATGGCCAACTCCAACATGAATAAACTCTATTTGAAATAACATTCTGAAGCAAATAATTTGACAAGTGTTGACAATAAGATAAGTGGGGAGCAAACAGTCACATAATAACCAGTAATTATACTTTGTACATGTGTAAAAACATACTACAGTAAGTGGCCAGCTTATATCAGTTGACACCAAAAGGCGCAGCGATCTGACAAAATCAACCAAATGCCAAAACAGGAACCTCCTTTTCATCCTCCTTAACCGTGTGTATGGGTAGAGTTTGTGTGTGACAGTGTATGCATCGCGGTGTTCACTTGTGTTCTATCATACAAACAATGCACTACATAGAAAACCAACGTGCTGTAATAAGGCATTATGTGGCAAAACAACCGAAATTCCAGAGCAAAAAATGGCATCAATGCCAGAAGATTGTTTTTAAGGCCAAGAAACAGAATAAAGTACATTGGGTGAAGAGCTGTGTGAAATCGAAACTTGAGGAAACCTTAAACTTCACTGCAAGACACTGTTTAATGATCTCAAAAAGAATGAGCTACAAGAAATATGACATAAATATTTGGGCTTCAGGTAACAAATGAGGTTTGGTGCTCTGGGTTAATAGTTTGGGCTTTGAAGGTTATAACAGCTGAAACCTGCCTGCACAATACAGTCTATGGAGTAATAACATTGTCCACAGTGGAATGGAAGCTTTACAAACTCACAGCTGTAAGGGCGAGAAAAATGAGCATGTGCATTAACTTCACATGTGGTGATAATAGCATAATGAGCTTGGTCAGGACATTAAAAAGTACAGATAGAAAATACATTCATGAAGAAATCCTGACAAACAAAACAAAAACAAAGTCAACAAAGAGCAAAACACGATCAGTTCACATGGTTCACAAAGAGAAGCAAAGTCGAAATATCAGTTAACGGACCAGCGACAAGGTTTTGGTGATGACCTACAGTATATACTGTTGTGCAGCAATGAGAGCCTCTACACTACTTCACTGGTCATTATCTGTCCTATCAACTGACCAAATAACACAAAGTACAACAGCTGCTCTCATATTTCCACCATCACTTTGTATGTGTAATTGGTTTGTTCAATAAAGACATAAAAGATCGGGACTGCTTGTTTTCTCAGCTTAGAAATACTTTATATAATTTAATAATTTATGACCTTGGTGAAGATCAGATCACTGTTCATGACCAATTTATGCAGAAAACCAGGAAATTGCAAATAGACCCGTTACTCTTCCTTGCTGTACTGTACAGGTTTACAACACAGCCAGCACTATTTCTGTTTGTTGTACCACTTGTCACATCATGGGGACTATTAATTCAAAAAGTAGCTTCGGTCCAGTGAGGTCTGGACTGTTAAAGAAACTGTCTCTACAAAGAAGTGTAGCTCTTGAGATATCAGCAAGTTATCTGAAAAACCAGACAAATAAAGCCAATCAGTCTGACTAGATACTACCTGAGATATGAGAAAAACATGTTTGTTTTCGAGGGTGGAATTCACCCTTTAAATCTTTTTCTAAATGTCTCATCTCAATCAATGACAACAGTCTGTGTCTGCCAGTCATTCCACCCACAGGTGATCCAGTACTTCTACAAGAACCAGATGGACAGTGCTGCATGAGCCATGCCAGTGATCGTGTTGCTGCACTGTTGTCTGCTCTGACATAGTTCCCTGAGAACACACTTCCTCTACGACTACAGTTATGGCAATATGCTGAGGACGAAAACGCGTGGTCCTGAAAGATTAAAAAAAAAAAAAAAAAA